AATTTAAAATTGCTAAATTTTGATTTAAAATTGCTAAAATTTGATTTAAAATTGCTAGAATTTGATTTAAAATTGCTAAAATTTGATTTAAAATTGCTAAAATCTAATGTTCAAATCGTAAAAAGGTGTTAAAATCGAAAAAAGTTGTTAAAATCGTTAAACGTTGTTAAAAATTTAAAAAAGATCGTTAAAATAAAAGAGCATAAACCACTATGCTAGCAGCTATTATTATTATTATTATTATTATTATTATGACCTTATATCACGCCTCAAGGACGGCAAATTTTTCCTAGCGGCCGAAGTACCAGAAGTGTGCCTCACTTCTCAGGTACTTCAGTCCATGACTTTTCTAACAATATGAGCCTGTCTTCAAGATGACTGTCTTTTGGAGAGCGCTGAGGTTGTGTCTGCCCGGAATCTCTGAGATTGCCTTAGCTGCACTTTTAGAGATGGTGCCTGTTGCTCCAATTATTACCGGAACAACTCGTGTTTTCATCCCCCACATTCTTTGCGTTTCGATTGCCAGGTTCTTATATTTGGTTCGCTTTTAAGCTTCTTTCTGGACGATGTTGTAGTCTGAGGGGATAGCAACGTCGATAATGATGCAGGTCTTCTCCTTTTTGTTTTTGATTATAATATCTGGTTTGTTCGCCGGAACGCATCTGTCGGTTAGTATTTGCGTATTCCAGATTATTGTAACGTCTGCGGATTCAGTAACCGGGTCCGGTTTGTGTTCGTAACATTTCTCGCATGTATCAATGTTGTAGTGTTTGCAGATGTTCCAGTGGAGATGGCTTCCGACTGCATCGTGGCGTTCAATGTACTCACTGTTTGCGAGGATTGGGCATGCAGATACTATATGATGTATGGTTTCAGGCTCAGTTTTACAAAGGCGGCATTTCGGATCCACTACTTGCTTTAGTATTTTTAGCTTTGTGATAGTTTGTCGCAATAGCTTGGTCTTGACATGCTGTGATTAGTGATCCCGTCTCTCCTTTTAGGCCACCATTTCGAAGCCATTTCCAGGTTAGCTGGCAATCAACGTGTTCTTTCTTGGTTTCAGAGAGGTACTGGCTGTGCATTTTTTTTTATTCCCAATTACGCTTTTTTTTCTTTCTGTATCCTGCCTTTAGTTATTTGCTTGGCTTGTTTCACTCTTTCTGTCTAAGTTTTACCAGCGTTCGTGTTTTCAAAGTGAAGTTGTTTGATAGTCTTAGGAAGCTCAACCTTAGAGAGAAGCTGTATCAACAATTGCAGAAAGAAGCTTTGCTAGGGAGCTTCAGGATTGTGAGGCGAGTTCTGGGTGATGGATAGTTACCACCAACCGATAGATTAACCTGCATTTTAAACTTCAACTTTTAATTTCTACCCCAATTTTAAAGTTTTAACTCCAATTTTAAAGTTTTAACCCCAATTTCAAGTTTTTTACTCCAATTTTAAAGTTTTAGTCCCAATTTTAAATTTTGTACTTCAATTTTAAATTCAAGGACTCTCCTTTGCTCCTTTAAAAGTCAAAACTACTGTAATTAGTTATTAATACTTGGAAATAAGTCAATGTAAAAGCCCTATTTTCTGGTGTGCCCACTTTTAATTACACCGACAACAATAGTCGTCTTCCAGTCTAACATACTCCGATTCCCTTGAAAAAATACACATAATCTAGTCTTAATTTTTTTAAATCTACTTATGTAGAAGACATTTATGAGATATTAAACATTTAGAATAAAGCAATGTACCTGGGGGTGAAGCTGACTTCGGATGGGAAGCTGGGAAGCTGGATCAGGCCATTCGGGACCGTAATCTTCTAGAAAGGAAAGCCATCGCCATGCTTAATGGGATCCTTTGGGACCAAAAGATTTCCTAAGACAACAAGAAGAGAATTTATAACTCGGTTGTCAAGCCTATTATCACCTATGGCAGTGAAGTGTGGCAGTTGAAGAAGCGGACCCAAGAAATGCTCAAGGCGACCGAGATGGATTTCTGGCGAAGATCGGCTGGAATCTCGAGGAGAGAACGTGTCAGGAATGAACGTGTCCGAGAGATAATGGGCGTTGAGGGGACGATTGTGCACGATATCATGACCAAGCAATTGGTATGGTATGGGCATGTGCAGAGAATGGCTGATACCAGGTTGCCGAAGAAGGTGTTGGAGTGGGTCCCCCCAGGTAGGCGACGGAGAGGGCGTCCAGCCAAACGGTGGGTAGAGGGCATCCATGAAGAGATGGAGAGATGCCACCTTCCGGAGGATCTCTACCATGACAGATTCCTGTAGAGAATAGGCGTCGCAGAGCGCCCTAGCGCGCCGTAAAAGCGGCTCATACATACACATACAAAGAACGTGCAGCACGTAAACCCAATGCACGTGTGTATTTTGCTTTGATTCATCTTCATGTATTTTTCGTAATTCTTAAATTTAAAAGCGTGGGCGTCCTGCGAGGCGTGGGCATGTTTTTCGCAACCCCTCCTTGCGGCGCATCGAGCGGCGTGGCGAAATGCGACTGGTGCGTGATTTACCGTATTCGTATGTCGTTCTTCCGTAGCAGGGCAGAATTGCAAACACTGCGCTTTAAAAAGAGAGACCATTTCGGCTTTTTTCAAAATATTCGGACATAACTCCAATAAAAATACAATGAGAGCATTAGCGCGAGGTTTGGATGTCGCTCCCTGGTCGGAAAATCATGTTTTTGACTTGTCTGCCGACAAAATCTCGTCAAAGCGTTCAAGAATAGCTGGGCCTGGACATGAGTCAGGAGTCAGGAGACCAGGCGACAGCAATAGATCTCAATTCGTCATCCTTTTTTCCCTTCCTGCTCGGCCTAGTGGAGCTCCAAAAAAATTGATGAAATTTCTCTCATCGGGTTCGATTTCAACTTTCTCAGTAAATTTACGCTCTGCTAAAAAAGAATATTACAATGAACTAAATTTCGTCGTGATATGTTGATAAGTAACGGAAATATCGTTCAGCAAGTTATAAATGCAGCAGTTGTGGTATCGATCTTAGTGTACCGTAGAATCATGTATTTTCATTAGTTTGACCACCATTCTGCTCAAAATTTCACCGCGAATCGAAAAATGTACAAACAAATGTAAAAACAATTTCCGAATGATAGAAAAAATTGCATTTTTACTGTCTTTAAATTTTGAGGGTCAGATTTTGTTTGGCATATGAGACAATAGGGCTGCGATCCCGTAGCGGGCAGCCTCGGTCTCGAGGGTTGTTAGACAAAAAGGACGGGAAAACCCATGTCATCGCGCCGCTTCGACAGTTTTATGGAACCACGTAGCTGGGGCGGCTTCCTTTTATTCAGACAGAGCAGTGCTGAGACAGAGTCCGAGTTTGACCTTCGGCGTTGGGTGAAGGCTGTGTAGTAGTAATATGGAGAGGGGTCTATTTGCATCTCTCAGCGGTTTACACAGATGTGGCTGAAAAATTGGAAATTCTCATAGTTTTGCGAGCATCTAGGAGCTAGAAGCTTTCAATCGACCCAAAAATCGTAAAAGTCGCCCCGGTAGATCTCTCAAAATAGGCGTTACAACAGGAACATAACCAGTTCCCGGGAACTTAAGGCCGGAGGGGGGTGGATTTGGCTTTAAGAGCGTCTCAGGAAGAGGAGTCTGAAAAATTTGGAAGTCTGACAGTTTTGCGAGCATCTGGAAGCTAGAGGCTTGCAGTCGACCCAAAAATCGTAAAAATCGCCCCGGTAGATCTCTCAAATTAGGCGTTACAACGGAAACATACAGCAACTCTCGGAAACTTAAGGTCGGAGGGGGGTGGATTTGGCTTTAAGAGCGTCTCAAGCGAAAGAGGCTGAAAAATTTGAAAGTCTGAAAGTTTTGCGGACATCGGGACGTCAAGGGCTTTCACCAGAGTCAAAGCATCGTCGAAATCGGTCCGGTAGAACTCCAGAAATAAGCGTTACAGTGAAACACCCAACGATTTTATTTATATAGACAAAACTTCTAAAATCTGCCTCATCTCTAAACAATGCGGAAATAGTTTTGAGGTGAGCCTGTATATATCTTTGTGGAGCTCATTCTAAATTTAAGGAATTTCAAGAAACTTACTTTTTAGATCAGGGTTATAGGTACTCTTTTCATTGGATAAATCTTTGAATGGATATTTCGTTTTTGGGTCATTTACCTATTGCTTTATTCTAAATGTTTAATATCTCATAAATGTCTTCTACATAAGTAGATTTAAAAAAATTAAGACTAGATTATGTGTATTTTTTCAAGGGAATCGGAGTATGTTAGACTGGAAGACGACTATTGTTGTCGGTGTAATTAAAAGTGGGCACACTAGAAAATAGGGCTTTTACATTGACTTATTTCCAAGTATTAATAACTAATTACAGTAGTTTTGACTTTTAAAGTACTATTTTCTCCGTACTGAATTAACGTTGAATTTTTTGTCGATGAGCTGTTCAAATTTTGATGATTTAGAAACTAATTCTTGATCTACATCTGACTTTTTATTTGTGATCAGATCCGTGAAAAAGTAGGTACCTTGTATTCTCGAAGAAATTTTTCTTAACATTTTGCAAACGCTTTAGCCACGTGTATTCCAGCTGAAGCATTTTTGTCTTGGGACTTCAGGACTAAAATCTCCTTAAATTCTTGAGATTTTACGATCAAACTTACGCTAAAATTTCCAAATTTTCTTTCTCCGTGCATTTGCAAAAGTTAAGACAATTTTTTTCCCGGAAGAGCCCTCTCTTCACATATCGACGGTGAAACTACCAAACCACGTATCTCGGTTTGCGACGTCGCAGACTTCCTGTCATACTTTATTTTTTAAATGAAAAACTACTTAACATCCAGTCTTGAAAATTTCTGTGATTTTTCCTCTTTGTGCGGAGAAAATTCCGTGAAAATTTCAAGGAATGATATTGATTTGGTCTACTTCAAAAAAATAAAATGTGAGCGTAGATTTTTAAACACCGCAAACGAGATATGTGGTTTGGTAATTTCACCGTCGATATCTAGTTACATATGAGTAAAAAATCAATCATACATCGATGGCCAAAGTTTGAAAGCACATATGTCTGTTTATGATGTTGCAGATTACCGATCACACTTGATTATTTTCTCTTCGGAAAAATAATGTAATCTTTTGAAGTTCCTAGATTTTTCTTCCTTATTAGTGGAGTATTCTATGAATTTCAAACCAACATACTTACCTTCGAAAAAATAAAATAAAAACGGGAATTTTGAAACATTGCAATAGGGACACGTGGTTTTGCCCTTTTGCCGAATCTGCCAAAAAGGTTTCTCGATGAGACATTCTTCATGGAGGCCGGAAGGGTGGAGTGGGTTCGGAGGTAGAAAATTCCTAGAAATAGATGAAAATGGTCTTTTTTGAGAGAAATTTTACATCAAGCAGGTCCAGGCCCCCTAAACCTCTTAAACTACCCGTCTGCATACTGCAAATGCGGCCCAACGATTTTAAAACCGGGTGGTTGGTGAAGGTTTACGCTAGGTACGTAAGGTTAGGTTGTATTATTATTGTCTATTTGTGGAAATACTCGTGTCATCAAAAAATATATTTTATTTCTAACAGCTCTGGAGCTACCGCAAATAAAAGCCTGTAAGTGAAAATTTTGACAGAGAATTGGATTGATATTCATCATAAAAAATGGAGAAGCTCCTTGTTGCTGTTTTGTGTTTCATTGGTCTAACAATATGTGGTCACCTAAACCGACCAATGACACGATCGAAGGTAAAAACCATGTCAAAGCACCACGATGTCGTTCCAGAAATAATTGATGAGTCGGAGAATTTTGATCGACTTGTCGTAAGTTTAACTTCACTTTTTTGGAAGTATGTTTATTGGTAGAAACTAAAATTATTTATTTTCGCTGCCTCAAAAAGGGTAGGATAAAATAACGTGTTTGGCCCTCGAGAGCGAGCCTTCAGAACCAATGTAAAATAAAGATCCATGGACATAGCGAAAGATATGACAAAAGTGGATATAAATTATGAAGAAATATGTATTTTAAAAAAAAGGAGATGGAGAGAAAGAGAAACGGCTCTTCTGCTTTACATTAAGAACATGTTTCCTTCATGATTTATCTTGGAATCCTCCTATCTCTTCTACCGTTCTTGTTACGCGTGGCTTGCGAACCTGAGTATGTGAGGCACAATTCCATCCCTTTTCGGAACAGTTCAATCATAGGTCAACTTAATGTCACATAATCAAAGGTCTTTGACTGTGAGCATTTGCTCAGATTGGTTTCTTCTGAGTCTCTTTGATTTTGCGTCAGGAGTTGTTAGAAACTTCATTTTGCCCAACAATGTATAACAAGGTCTTTAATGAAAGGTATGTACCCGTTTTATTCTCCTAATTTCATAAGTTGATGATAAAAATACAATGAAGGCTTCATTTTCTTGCATCGATTACTGTGTGAAATGGGTGCGTCCATTCTTCCTCTGTTAAAAAACCTGTGACAAGAGCAGTTGATCCACTCTAGAGTGCTAAAACGAAGTAGGAAGAGAATTTTAACAATGGGTACACCCAGTTGTCACTTACATAAACTCAGAGCTCACTCTTTTTTGATACATGTAAGGGCAATAGAGAGGCTTGGAAGACAAGGCGCTTACTTAAGTGCAATTTTTAAAAAAAATTGAGGTACTTAGTCTGAAAATGTATTTTGTGCAAAATTCAATCCCAAATTCTAATTTTTAAGCATCAAAAAGTGAGTCAGGGCCTTCCCTCTCCCATAAGGCTCCATGTAATTTCAAAACTTTTAACTGATATATCTCAAAATAGCAAAAACTGCATTCTTGCGCCTTGTCCTCCAAGCCCCTCAATTGTTTTGGAGCTGCACTCTCCATCTCCCACTTTATTACGACTGGACTAGAGTGTGCAGCTCCGAGACAATCGTCCTTAAATGTATAAAATGTATAATAAGTGAGTGAGCTCAGTATTCATATTATAGACAAGTAGGCGTAGGTACCCATTGTTTTAAAGTTCACTATTTAGACAGATCTATCTCCGTCCACAAGAAAATTTAAAATTTCAGTAAGACTGTGAACATGACATGTGTGTCTTATTAACTGAAAATCTAAAGGGTGTGCTATCGGCATTTATCAAAACTTATTGAATATTTTGTGTTTTTTAACTGCTTCGGTTTCTTTTGACAGTTGTAAGGCCAGCTGAATGAAAAGGACGAGTAAAAGAGCAAACGAAAATTCTGTTTGCTCAGATAGTACTCACACCCCTAAAAATACCAGTTAACTATTTTGAATTTTTTCTGTATTTTGTGTATCCTCACTATTTTGTCCTCTATCCAATTTTTTTTTTCTTTTCCCACTTTTGCTGCTCAGTTTTCCTCTTGGAAAAGTTAACAAGTAAGTGTCAGTCACTGTGAGTGTTATTTTACTGCACTAGTGTTGCAATTGAATGGTTCAAAAAATAGACTGGGCTTATTAGTAAAGAGTCACCCCATATTTGAAAGTATAGTGTTGTATGTTTTCTCCGGTCGAAAATTCAAAATGTGGAAAAAGTATTTTGTTTCTAAGTAAGGAGAAGAGGGCAGAAAGTTACAGAATCTATCCAATTTGATTTCTGAGAATTGAATAAGCCAACGTAATTTCTTGGTATCCGGTTTTCGTTTTTTATTCTGTGTTGTGTTATAAATATTTCCAATTTTCTCAGCACTAGCTGCTGTATTAATTTATAACATTCAAAACGTGCAAAACTGTGTTTGCGTCTTACTTCACTCTTCACAAACTTGTTAACAAAATGACAAAAACAAACAAAATGAGTCATAAATTATCACAGTATTTTATAATAAAATGTAGAAAAAGTTTGTATACTGGTGATAATCGCGTTAACTTATGTAACGGTCAGCAAAGTATTTTCACGTTGTGGGTGAAAAATTACATTTGAACACTTTCTCAGGTACATAATGTTTACAATGTGCTGAATGCTTTCTTCCGTTTTGTTTCAGGGATCATTAAGTCGCGTATTCGGAATCAAGAATAAGGAAAACACTTTGAGAGAGGAAAGGAGAGATAGTTTCATGAATACTCCTCAGGTAGTGTCCCCATCTTCATCATCAGGAAGCAGCGCTGCAGCATCCTATTTCTCGTCACAGCGGCCTGAGTCACCACAATCTGTAGTTGCTGTAGCAACGGTCAAAAGGAAAACTCGCCCACAGAGACATCGTAGAGTCAAGTCTATCGGTGATATTGACTCAATTTTAGTTACGCCTGTGTAAGGCACGAGTTTTTAATCAGATTTGTTCTTTCCCATGACTTCAGAATCCCTAGTCTTAGGTTTTTACGAAAGTTTTACTTTTCTCTTTTTATCTTGCGAGATCTCAAAATTATTTGTAATTTAAACTGTGTAACTATTTTTCCAAAGTGAAGAATAGTATAAGTTATTTTAAGGTGTATGAATAATCTTATTTTTGCAGCTGCATTTACAATGAATAGAGGAACAAAAGGGATATTTTTTATGAAAAGCGCATCATTGTGCTCAATCAAAAACTCCAAAAACTTGTGTGAAATAATTTTTTACTGGTATTGTTGGTTCTCCTCTCGTTTATTTTTTACCATACACTGCCTGTTTTTGTTTGTTTTTTCTTCTGTTAATGTCTTTCATGTTCATTCAATTTATTATTTACACATTTTCTTTTGTTATTTTTTCTGCATACCTCACAAAGCATCGAGAAAACTGATTAATTACCGTTTCTCAGTTCTTTTATTACAAATATTGGTTTTTTTTTCCTCTTCATTTATTAGAGAAATGCTAGGACAAAAAATTGCAACTATACAATATCTATTTAAATAGCCATTAAATGAATCTACGCTCTAAGTTTTTTGTGCTCTGATTGTTATCGTATCAAAGACTCAGAACTTGAGACTGCCCTACTTTGTTTTTAGAAAAGTAAACTATTTTTACAATTTTATTTGGACAACAACTTAGGACTTCCATCATTTTCATTGGTAATATTTTTTTTTTTATGATTTCCATTTATCTAGAGACTAGAGTCTCTAGATAAAATCTAGAATGTTTTCGATATGTTAGGCGGAATTAGCTCATTCTATCTAATGAAACAACAAGTCAATTTTCAATACATTTTTCTTACACAGCATACCATGAATATGTGTGCCCAAGTATGTAATTTTGTCGGTTTTTGTAAGCGTACCACTTCAATTTTCTCAATAGCGTGTGGTGCTTAAAAAAAAAAATTAAAAAAAAAAAAAAAAAAAAAAAAAAATT